AGCGAGATGATGAGTGGTACGACGTCCATGGTGTCTCCACCAACAAGCGCCCTCCCAACTGGGCCCCACCCCGTCGCGTGAACCATGTCGGGGCAGTGGAGGTGCCCAGTCCCTCAGTTGATAGCACCCCATCTGATATTCGCCTCAACCTGTTGTTCTCTGGTGCTGGTATTATTAATGAGAAGGGGTCATAGTACATCGGTGTTTCAAACACACAAGGGATCGAGTTCATACTAGACAGTGGTGCCACCCACACAGTGCTCAAAGACCAAACCGCGTTCGTTCCTTACCAGGCTCCCATCCCACTCCTCGGAGCCGACTCTAGCTTCTCCATCCAATGCCATGGGTCCTCCACAGTTCCTTGTCCAGCATTTCCATCGGGCACAGTCACTGGCATCTGTGCCCCCACCCTCCGCCACAAACTCCTGGCACAAAGTGAAATCCAACAAGCAGGAGTGATCACCATCTTTCCCAATGATGTCGACTACTGTGACCTCTTTGACGCTAAAACCGGCATTCATCTAGCCCGCTTCACTCTCAACTCCAACAACCTATACACGCTTGTAGTACCTCCCATTCAAACGTGCTCCCTCACAAACCTCCCGTTACCTTCCCTTGACTCCTCCACCTGTCACTTGCCGCCTCCTTTCCGACAAAACCATGCTCTTTCATCACCGCCTTGGCCACATAAACTTTCGCGCGCTTTCAGACCTTGCCACAAAACAACTCCTCCACGGGCTTCCAACCTCACTTCCCTCTCCTACCTCCACCCTAGGGCCGCCTTGCCTTGACTGTGCACAGAGCAAGCTTCGTGAACTGCCCCATCCCCCCACTGAGTCCATCTCCGTTGCACCTCTCGATCGCGTACACATGGACCTTTGGGGCCCAGCTCCTGTTCGCTCTCGCGGTGGACACTTTTACTTCCTTGTCATCATTGATGACTATTCCCGCTATGTGTCTGTCCACCTTCTCTCCTCCAAATCCGAAGCCCCAGGTGTCATCATTGAATGGGCGAAGCAGGCTTACAAACACTTCAAAACCACCATCAAGGTCCTTCACTCTGACGGTGGCGGTGAATTCCGCAACAGCACTCTCAAAGCTTTCTGCTCCACTGAGGGTATTCGTCAGACCTTCACTCTCCCGGACAGTCCCCAACAGAACGGTATTGTCGAAAGCCGGAACCGTACATTGGTGCAGATTGCTCGCTGCCTCCTGACGCACGCCTCCGCCCCTCCCTCTCTCTGGGGGTACGCCATGCTTCATGCTGCCGCCCTCCACAATCTCCATCCCCATCCTCATCACACCCACACCACCCCCGCTGAGCTATGGACGGGTCAAAAAGCCATCCGTCCGCCCTCTTCGTGTATGGGGGTGCACTTTCTATGTCCTCCTCAACTCCCAAGCCCGTCGTGCGGTTGGCGGCAAACTTGCTCCCAAAACGATCACGTGCGTATACCTAGGGCACAACTTAGATTCGCCAGACTATCTTTTCCTCCATCCTTCCACCAACAAGCTCTATCGCAGCCGGAACGTTTACTTTGATGAGTCCCACCCATTCTACCCCTCCTCCAAGGCTTCCCCCTCTCCTCCGCCTCTCTCTCTTACTTGGGCTGACTTTGACAGTCTCCCTCTTCCCGACAGTCCATCTCCTCCTCTTCCCGCTCCCTCCACCATTTCTGATCCCCCATCACCCGCTTCCCCCTCCAGTACCACACAGTCTCCCTCGCCCCCTCCCTCCTCCGCTACCCCTCCTCCATCTCCTCTCGCATCTCCTCCTACTGAGCAAATTCCTCTCAAAACCTACCAACGCCGTCACCCAGCTCTTCCTCCTCCAGCTCCCACCCCTGATCCCGATCCTGTCTCCACTCTCCCTACCACTCCCACCTCCCCTTCCGCTGCGCCTACTCCGGCCCCGCCTCCCTCACCCATAGCTTCTCGCACCCGCTCTCGCACACCTCCACAACCGTTCTCCCTTTCCGATCGCGTCTCTCTCAATCCTCCTCCTGTCGGGGGTGATTATTCTCTCATGCCATCCCTCCTTGAAGACAGACATGAGGAGTTGATTGATATCGACTCAGCCATCCACGCACTCTGCTTCCTCTTTCCAGACATCGCAAACTCTCCCACCCTCAATTTCTCCGACAACCCCTCCATCCCCACACCTCTCACCTATGCTGAAGCAGTCTCTGGTCCTCACGCCGCTCAGTGGTTGGGGGCCATTGTCGCAAAATGTGAGGCCTTCATTCACACAGGAACTTTCACAGACGTCTCTCATCCCTCCGGCGTCAACATTGTGAAGGGAAAATGGGTCTTTTGGGTGAAACAACTTCCAGGCGAATTTCATGTCTTCAAAGCCCGGTACTGTGCCAAGGGATTTACCCAAAGGCGTGGACTGGACTTCTTTGAGACATTCTCTCCCACTGCCAAACCTCCCAAACTGCGCACCCTTCTCGATGTCGCTGCTCGAGATGACATGGAGGTTGACTGCATGGATGTGTCTCCTGCGTTCCTGCAAGGGATCCTTCGAGAGGAAATCTATATGGAGCGGCCCGAAGGATTTCCAGCTCCTTTTCCACCAGACACAGTATGGAAGCTGAATCGGCCAGTGTATGGCCTCAAGCAAGCTCCCCGGGAATGGCACAACAAGCTAAAGAGCACCTTAGGGTCCCTCGACTTTCACCCATCCACCTCTGACCCCAGCCTCTTCATCCGAGCAACAGCCTCCCGGTTCTTCATCCTCGTTTATGTCGATGACATGATCCTTGTCACCAAGAATCAGACTGAGCTGGCAGCAGTCAAAACCGCACTTGGTGAGAAGCTGGCCATGAAGGACCTTGGGAAGCTGACGAACTATTTGGGAATGGAAATCACACGTGATTGCACAGCCCACACCATCACCCTTTCGCAGAAGTTTTACATCAACAATGTTCTGACGAGGTTCCAGATGCAAGAAGCAGCATCAATGCCCACCCCACTCTCTCTGCAACACCAACTCACTGCACCCTCCGTTCCCTCACCTGAGCCCTGTGACGAGCCTTACCCCGAGCTCGTGGGATCCCTCATGTACGCGATGATGTGCACTCGACCAGACTTAGCCTATCCAGTCAGTGTACTGTCCCGCTACATTGCACCTGGTCGCTTCACTCGCCACCACTGGTCTGCCGCCAAGCGGGTTCTTCGCTATCTCAAAGGCACACAGGATTACGTGCTCACACTTGGCGGCACTTCCCCAGTTCGCCTTGAGGGGTACAGTGACTCATCCTATGCTGATGACCAGAGTGATCGGCGCTCGTCCCAAGGGTATTGCTTCACCCTTGGCAATGGGGTTGTAAGTTGGCGCTCCACTCGGTCGTCCTCCGTCTCACTCTCGACCTGTGAGGCAGAGCTGTATGCCGGGACCATGGCTGCCCAGGAGGCTCGTTGGCTCTCCTTCTTGCTGACAGAACTGGGGTATCCCCAACCAACCCCAACGCTTTGGTGTGACAACGAGAGCACCATTCATCTCACCAAAGACCCCGTTTTCCATGGCCGCACCAAGCACATTGAAGTCCGTCACTACTTTCTTCGTGAGCTGGTGCAGCGCGAGCAGCTGAAGGCTGAACACATTGCCTCCGACTGCAACCTTGCTGACTTGTTTACCAAGTCGCTTGTTCGCGAGGATCATTACCGCCTCCTCTCGGCCATGGGTGTCGGGCCTCCTTGTGGCTGATGTGTTGCAGCCTAGGGGGTGTGTTAGAATTTGGCTATCAACACTTTGTGTACTATATTCTATATCTCGTATGTTATTTGCGGGTTGGGTGTAGTTTGTGATCCCAACCCTATCTGGTTGGGATTCCCTCGTAATCCTGCAAATCTGCCAACTCACCAATTGGAGATTTGCTAGGATTCCCATCCCATCCTTTACCTAGCCTTGACAATCCCAACCTCGTTTGTACTTAGGGCCTAGTGCCTTCTTTCCTAATCAATCAGTTCAGTTCCAATTCTATCAGGGAGATGGCGGACAAAGGGGTTGGGAAGAGTGATGGGGAAGGGATAGGTCGATGTGGGTGTGTGCGAGCACTAGGAGAGGTGTGGCTTCGGCGATGGACTGGAGGGAGTACGGAGGGGTGGATGGGGAGCAGGGAGACGGGGAGAGGGAAGCACAGGGGGGCAGGGGGACTGTCAAGGGAGAGGGGGGTTGCAAGTTAATCACATTAAGCAGGGGGACTGTCAAGGGAGAGGGGGGTTGCAAGTTAATCACATTAAGCAGGGGGACTGTCAAGGGAGAGGGGGGTTGCAAGTTAATCACATTAAGCAGGGGGATTGTCAAGGGAGAGGGGGGTTGCAAGTTAATCACATTAAGCAGGGGGACTGTGAAGGGAGAGGGGGGTTGCAAGTTAATCACATTAAGCAGGGGGACTGTCAAGGGAGAGGGGGGTTGCAAGTTAATCACATTAAGCAGGGGGACTGTCAAGGGAGAGGGGGGTTGCAAGTTAATCACAGAAGCTGAAGCAGAAGCAGAAGCAGAAGCAGAAGCAGAAGCTGAAGCTGAAGCTGAAGCAGAAGCAGAAGCTGAAGCTGAAGCAGAAAGCAGAAGCAGAAGCAGAAGCAGAAGCAGAAGCAGAAGTTGAAGCTGAAGCAGAAGCTGAAGCTGAAGCTGAAGCTGAAGCAGAAGCAGAAGCAGAAGCTGAAGCTGAAGCTGAAGCTGAAGCAGAAGCAGAAGCAGAAGCAGAAGCTGAAGCTAAAGCAGAAGCAGAAGCAGAAGCTGAAGCTGAAGCTGAAGCAGAAGCAGAAGTAGAAGCAGAAGCAGAAGCAGAAGCTGAAGCTGAAGCTGAAGCTGAAGCTGAAGCTGAAGCAGAAGCAGAAGCTGAAGCTGAAGCTGAAGCTGAAGCAGAAGCTGAAGCAGAAGCTGAAGCAGAAGCAGAAGCAGCATCTGTAGCAGAGTGTGAGGCACCAACTTCCCTGGCCTTCCCTGTGAGGCACCAACTTCCCTGCCCTTCGCTCGCTCCAGCACGGCTTGTATGGCAGCTGCTGTGCCCCCTCTCCTCTTCCCTGCTGCTGTGCCCCCTCTCCTCTTCCCTGCTGCTGTGCCCCCTCTCCTCTTCCCTGCTACTGTGCCCCCTCTCCTCTTCCCTGCTGCTGTGCCCCCTCTCCTCTTCCCTGCTGCTGTGCCCCCTCTCCTCTTCCCTGCTGCTGCGCCCCCTCTCCTCTTCCCTGCTGCTGTGCCCCCTCTCCTCTTCCCTACTGCAGCACCAACATCCACGGCTATAGCAGTGCCGGCTGTAGTAGCGCTCGTAAGAGACAATAGGCAAGAGGGGTGGCAGTGTACGTGCACTGGGGACTGTAGTAGCTGTAGCAGCTACAGCTGCAGCTGCAGCTGACGTCACCACCAGGGCCTCCTGCAGGTTCTTATCATCCGGAATCCACTGACACGCAAGTTCCAGGAAGTTACGCAGAAACCACACCCTCTCCATTCCCCCATCCTCTTCCTCCTCCCCTTCCCCGTCCCGTCCCCGTCCCCATCTCCTCCCCTCCCCCTCCATTGTCCTTCATCCCCCCATGCATCAATCGAACCACATAGGACCTCCAGAAAGAGCGTCTAGCACAGCAGCACCACGGGCCAAGTTCCCTTGCTCACGAGGATATGGGTTGTAAGCCTGCTATATCGAATTGTAAGCCTGCTATATCGAATTGTAAGCCTGCTATATCGAAAGCACAGCAGCACCACGGGCCAAGTTCCCTTGCTCCTCCTCCTCCTCCCCTACCTCTGCTACTGCCACTTCTGCCCCCCCTCCCCCTACGGCTGCCGCTTCCGTTTCTCATGCTCCTGCCGAAGCAGCAGAGGCAGCAGCAGCAGTCGCACCGACACCCCTACCACCACCGGCACCAGCACAAGGGTTAGGAGGAAGCTGAGAGGTTGGAGTTTTAAAGGGGGCTGTGATGGACTGTGGAACGCTGACCAACGACCCTGAAGCTTCCACGAAGCTGCTGTCATTGCTGCTGCACCTGTTGGGTGGGAGGACAAGAGACAGAAAGTGCTCTTCATAAGCATGCTTCGTTACTCTCCAAAAGAAAAGAGAAAGTGCTTTCGCGGATTGGTGATCGCGGAGAGGGCATTTACACAAAAAGACCAAAAAAAAAAAATGAGGGGTTGCTTGCACATGCAAATCGTCTCATTTCTTCATATATAAATACTCCTAGGCATTTATTACCCACAGTTGACAGCTCCGGAAACACTCAGCCCCTCATTTAGAACTGACTAAAAAAATCTATAGATGATCACTCCTCATCCCAATCTCACACCACAGACAGCACGCGGCCTCTCCCACTCACAAACGCTCTACTCGTCACAGGTGTGGCTGTCCCTGATGGTAATCAGTTTCTCTGTTACACTGACACACCACCCACCACCCCACAACCCACCACTACAGCCGCTCACCACGCCAGCAGAGGCGCATCAAAGAAGGCAGCAGCAGCACACAGCAAGTGAGTCAAGGGAGAAACAGCAAGCAGCAGGTACAGCACCTAACCACCACCACCCCACAACCCACCGCTACGGCCACTCACCAAGCCGGCAGGGGAGCATCAAAGAATGTAGCAGCAGCAAGCAGCAGATGTCGCTTCGCTGCTTTGGAGTGCAGAGAGAAGAGTCGGTTCCTCACATCCTCATACACCACCACCCTCTCTAGCTCCTCTTCCTCTTCATCATCCTCTTCTGCTTGCTCTTCATCTCTTTTCCCCTTCCCTGCTGCTAGTGCTGGGAAGGGGTGCATGGAAGGGGAAGTATGGATGAGAAGAGTCGGCTCCTCACATCCTCATACACCACCACCCTCTCTAGCTCTTCTTCTTCGTCGTCCTCCTCCTCATCCTCCTGCTCCTCCTCTTTTTTCTCCTTCCCGGTTGCTGGTCATGGGAAGGGGAATGAACGCATGGGAACACGAGGGGAGGACGAGAGAAGAATCGGCTGATTAAGAGACATTCCAGGAGACTTTTGAGTCAGCTCTGATTGAACGAGACATTCCAGGAGACTTTTGAGTCGAGAGAACGAGACATTCAAGGAGACTTTTGAGTCGAGAGAACGAGACATTCCAGGAGACTTTTGAGTCGAGAGAACGAGACATTCCAGGAGACTTTTGAGTCGAGAGAACGAGACATTCCAGGAGACTTTTGAGTCGAGAGAACGAGACATTCCAGGAGACTTTTGAGTCGAGAGAACGAGACATTCCAGGAGACTTTTGAGTCGAGAGAACGAGACATTCCAGGAGACTTTTGAGTCGAGAGAACGAGACATTCCAGGAGACTTTTGAGTCGAGAGAACGAACATTCCAGGAGACTTTTGAGTCGAGAGAACGAGACATTCCAGGAGACTTTTGAGTCGAGAGAACGAGACATTCCAGGAGACTTTTGAGTCGAGAGAACGAGACATTCCAGGAGACTTTTGAGTCGAGAGAACGAGACATTCCAGGAGACTTTTGAGTCGAGAGAACGAGACATTCCAGGAGACTTTTGAGTCGAGAGAACGAGACATTCCAGGAGACTTTTGAGTCGAGAGAACGAGACATTCCAGGAGACTTTTGAGTCGAGAGAACGAACATTCCAGGAGACTTTTGAGTCGAGAGAACGAGACATTCCAGGAGACTTTTGAGTCGAGAGAACGAGACATTCCAGGAGACTTTTGAGTCGAGAGAACGAGACATTCCAGGAGAGGACGAGAGAAAAGTCAGCTCTGATTGAGAGACATTCCAGGATGGGAGAAGAGTCCGCTCCTCACATCCTCATACTCCACCACCCTCTCTAGCTCCTCCTTCTCCTCGTCCTCTACTCCTTCCTCTTCATCCTTTTGTCCTTTCTGTGATGCTGGTCGTGAAGAAACAGATAGGGAGACTGCAAGAGAAAGCAAGGGGTGGGTAAAAAAAGAGTCGGCTCCAACAATCGGAGTCGGTTCTGAACGTTCCAATGCTCCTCACATCCTCATACTCCTCCTCCTCCTCCTCCTCCTCCTCCTCCTCCTCCTCCTCCTCCTCCTCCTCCTCCTCCTCCTCCTCCTCCTCCTCCTCCTCCTCCTCCTCCTCCTATTTCTTGCGTCATGCTCCTGATGGAATGGGGATGGCCTGGTCAAGAGAACATGGAAGCCAAGGCCTCGGAAACTTTCATCACACCTCACCTCCCATTAGTACTAATAATCATAATCATAATTATAATCATAAAGGCTCACCCGTCTGCCTGGAAATCAGTCATGAGGTACCTTAAACCCCCCTTCCTTCCACTCCCATTCTTTCGTGCCTCACCTCTCATTGGTTGCCATTGCCTGCTCTCCCTCCTCCTCTCCTCTGCCGCCCACCGCTGCCACACGCCCGGGTCCTTCACCCAATCCTCGCCTGCCACGTCAGCAGCACCGCCACCCAGCACCACCACCACCACCTGCCCCGTCCTTTCCCTTTTGAAGTCGTTCCATCAGCTCTGCCTCCAGCAAACCCTCATCCTCATCCTCCTCCTCCTCCTCCTCCTCCTCTTCCTCCTCCTCATATTCCTCCTCTTCCTCGTTCTTTTGTTCGTCTTCCTCCTCCTCCTCCCCTGCTTTTGATTCCCTGTCTGGTTTTGATTCCCTGTCTGGTTTTGATTCCCTGTCTGCTTTTGATTCCCTGTCTGCTTTTGATTCCCTGTCTGCTTTTGATTCCCTGTCTGTCTCTAGCTCCTCTCCTTTCTCTTCCTCTTCCTCCTTCGCCACCTCTCCCCCACCCTCTCCCTTCCTAACAATCTCCTGCCATCCAGACCATCCCCGTTTCTCCTCCTCCTCTTCCTCCTTTTCTTCTTCCTCCTCTTCATCCTCCTTCCCCTCACCATCCCCACGACCTCCACCTCCCCCTCCCTCTCGCCCCATCACATACCCCTCCTCTCTAGCCAACCAAGCAGACCACCCTATCCCCCCCTCCTCCCCCACTCTCTCCCCCCTCCTCCTCCCCCCACCCTAAACCTCAACTTGCTACCCTCAGAAGAAAAGGACAAGGGCAGGGGCGGCGGCTAGACGGCGTACTCCGTCTCGGCCTGCAGCAGCACCACTGCCAGCTTAGCGTGCCCTGATTGGTGCTCGAAGCGGCACGAGTCCACCAGCATGTCCACCGCGGCGAGTTCTGACACCGCACCGCGGCGAGTTCAGCATGTAACCCCTCCAGGGATTCGCACTGCCAGGGATGCGACCAATGGCGCTTCGCCACTTGGCGTCCAGTGAGGTGGCGTCATCTCTGGGTGAAAGGGGAGTGTGAGGGTGGGAAAGGGGATGAGAGGGGAGAGGAGGGAATGACAGCTAAGGGGATGGGAGGGATGTGTGCTGCTGCTACTGCTGCATTGAAGAGTAGCAGCAGCAGCAGCAGGGATGTGTGTTGCTGCTACTGCATTGCATCGACTACGGTTCAAAAATTCACAGTAGTCGATGCGAAGCCCCCTCTGCCACCGGATGTAGCCCCTCCAGAGATTCGCTCTGCCAGGGCTGCAGCCATTCGCGCTGCGCCACGTGGCATCTAGTGCGGCTGCGTCATCTCTGGGAAAAGGTGTTGGGGAGGCGGGAGACGTGTGAAGAGAGGTCAACACTACTGCCTCACTCTCCCTTGTGAGCGGTTTTTAAGAAATCTCGAAAATCATTGGGGAGGGGGGAGACACGTGAAGATAGGTCAACACCACCGCCTCACTCTCGCCCACGCGTTGCGGCGCTTGCCCCAACACTGCCACGTTCCCCCCTGACATCCCCTTTCCTACCCTCCACCACCGCCTCACTCTCGCCCACGCGTTGCGGCGCTTGCCCCAACACTGCCACGTTCCCCCCTGTCATCCCCTTTCCTACCCTCCACCACCGCCTCACTCTCGCCCACGCGTTGCGGCGCTTGCCCCAACACTGCCACCTTCTTCCCTGTCACCAACTATCAAGGACGCCATCATGCGTTACCAGGTTACCACATGCTGCAATGCTGCAATGCTGTAGGAGCAGAGGCAGTGTTGCGGGGGCATTACACTCACCGCTGCACACTGCATGTGTGAAGATACATCAACACCGCCGCCTCGCTCTCCCTCACGTGCTGCGGTGCTCGCTCCAACACTGCCACGTTCTTCCCTGTCTGTCACCCATGATCACCAGTAGTGCACTCAACCCACGTTCTTCCCTGTCTGTCACCCATGATCACCAGTAGTGCACTCAACCCATGTTCTTCCGAGTCTATTTTTGAGGCGCATTAAAAATGAACACAGCACAGCTGGCGAGAAAGAAAGAAACACACTCACTCACCAGCAACTGCATGTTTGAAGGTAGGTCAAAACCACCGCCTCACTTTCCC